GTGTATTTGTTACATTCAGCTACACAGACCAGATTACAAACAAAATCTTCAAGACTTCATGAAAAATAACTGCATTAAAAAGATCACGATCTTCGTTCCTGTCTCGGTTTTAATGTCGGGACCCAACAAGCATGCAGTTTAGTTTACCAAAGAACAATTAGCCCCTGAGCCCAAACAGACCCTGGCACATGTGGTTGAGAGGCGAGAGCCGCAGGGGCTCGCCAGATGATGGGTGGGTTAGGAGGGAAGCTTGTGGCGCATGGCAGCCACGCGTGTGCCAGTCATTGGCTCCTGGGCATGTCCTGCCTAACCGCTACTCTCACAGGGAGAGAGAAAGAGACAGAGAAAGAGAGAGAGAACGCCTTCTCTTCCCTGTCCTGTAGTCTCTGGGACCCACTCCATTCTCTTCAGAATTGCAGGCAGCCTTCCAGATAGAGAGCTTACAACAGAGGAGGCATCCTACAGCCTTGTGGCTTCCCTACAGAAACCAAAGTTATTTTCTCTTTGTACCGTGCCAAGTGGGCCCAGTGCCAGTCGCATTTGTAACCACAAGGGACCTCTGCCTTTTTTTCTTGTCTAATGAAATGACAAAACAACAGATTTACATATACAGAAACAGGTGTTGTAACAGGATTGACTCCTCTTGACCTAAACCATAACCATGTTAGAAGGAAAAAATAAACAAATAAAGTTTATTAGCAACAGCTGCCCGAAGGTATTTAGGCTGTGATGGGCACTCAAGTCTACACCATCTGCCTTGCTGGTTGCCAGAAGTGACAACCGAAATCAAAAACCACTCATCAAATATCATAAAAATAAACCATTGTATTGCTGCACCATATGTTGTGGCCATTTCTTTTATAAAAGTGTCTGAATGAAGGCTTATGGCACTGTCATCCAGGGGAGCCCTACAAGCCACACAGCAGCCTATTATTACTCTCAACCAATCCCCTCTGTTCTAACCAGAGCACTCCGTCAGTATCTCACATCATCATGTCCAAGTCCATCCCTCTGAAATTACAGAAGAAGAAAAAACGACGGCCCTACGACAAAAGGACTAGGCCTACTGTCCAAGAACAAGTTTGAGGAAACTCTTTAGTGGGCAAAATGTTGGAATGAAGTGTTACTAATAGCTAGCTAGTAAATAGCTTATAAGCTTGTAATGTCACCTCTGTGTTATACATTGGCAAATCATTCAAGTATTCAAACTATTAGAACGTGCTAATAGGATTCGTAGAGACATTTATGATCCAATCAACTAGCCTACATGCAGTAGATATTATAATGTGGCCATGATATCAAAAACACAACAACAAATAACTAGGCATATTTCTGAAAATCGCCTCCCTTTTATATCACTGTAAAATATCATAGCCAAGAATGTCATTGTTGTCCTTTAAAGTGCGTCCATGTATTTCTGAAAGTCAAAAGCTGTAAAAGCCCTATTGTTTTTTTCCCTGGATGTTTTTATTTAGACGAGCCAGTGAGACAGGAGGAACAAACCTGAGACAGTCGTGACCCTGCCAGAGTGTTGTAACTTGTTCTAGAGCAACGCCGGCAGAAGGCAGCACCATATGCCCCCAGCCCCGAGCTCGATGCTCTTTCTGCAGCCTAATGTGCCTGTCAAAAAGTATTACCCTCACAAATCCTGTGTTTTTACAACATGTTTGAAATAAACCGTTTTTTTCCCCCCCTCTCTCTCTCCAACAGAATTGTCCTCAGAGACACACAGCACCAGTGAGAGGAAGGTCAGTGTTTGTTTGTGTTCCTGCTGTTTGAGCAGCACATGCCTGCTTCAAATCAATACTAGCCATTCCCTTCCTTATTCCTAGAATTCCTAAAAGGACAACTTCAATGAGCCCCAGATGTTTAAAAAGCCATGTTAATTTTACCAACAATATAATCAGATTGTAAAATGAAGCTAGCACACAGATCTAGACATGACTTATTCCACAATTTTGTGAATGTGACCTGTTTCTCAATTAACCGTTAAACAATTGTAGAGTTAGGCCAATAGCCCTGTTATTTCTCAATCGGTCTGATGAGAGTAGTTGTTTACAGTGATACAGATGATACAAGATGGCAGATTTCGCCTGAGTGATGGCGACCTTGCCGTTCGCTATGAGTGACCCTCCATCTTTGATTTAGGGCAAGACCCTGCAACCAACACATTCTTTCACACCAGTCCAGTACACTGTCCCTTCTTTTTCCATCTAACCATGACTTAAAGAAAAGCAAAAGCCGTCATTCCTTTATACTGCTGTGACCATAGCATAGAGCAGGGATTGCCAACTCCAGTCCTCGGGAGCGTGATTGGTGTTACACTTTTACCCCAGCCCCGCTAACACACCTGACTCCAATAATCAACTAATCATGATCTTCAGTTTAAAATGCAATTAGTTTAATCAGCTGTGTTTGCTAGGGATGGGGAAAAAGTGTGACGCCACTCCGGCCCCTGAGGACTGGAGTTGCCCATCCCTGTCATATAGAGTAAACAAGTGTTGGCTGCACAAAACAGGACGAAATGTGAACAAGATGTGATCCAAAACTATCAAATCTATTCTCGCATGGGAATCAAACAACTAAAAGAGAAATCTCACAATTTCACAGATAATGCAGGTTGAAATGCAGCAAGTGCACGTAACAGGTAGACCTAATGGCCCTTTAAAGGGTCAACCGGTGGTTCAATTGTCAAGGTCTAGGTCATGATCAAGCATCTACTGCTAGACCTTAGCTGATACAGCATTACTGCATTGGCAGACTGCAATGGTAAGAATGCTTTGTTGGTTAGTGGTAAACAAGTTCGTTTACATCAGTCACAAGTCTGGCTGCAGTTTGCGTAGGTTCTATTCTTTGTCAAAGTACAGGAGTCATTATGAGGTTTTGGGAACCTGCTGAACCTGCAGTTCACATGTTTTTGGTCATTTGTTTGTAGTGCAACAACCCTGAGATCGTGGCATGGTGACGTACAACGTGATATTTAGAAACCTTGCTTCCTTAGAAACACAGCATTTAGGACTGTTATACATAAATATAAATATTGGCAAGTGTTTCAAACTGACAAGTGAGAACGGTTATCAGTATCACATAGTTCTAAAATGAGTCATAACACAATGAGCAATGAAACACTCCTCCAAAGTAAAATAAATGCTCATTGTAACATAAACACGTCGGGGTTGAGACTTGTTTCAAAGACAACACTTAACACAGCCTTAAGTCTTGAGTCAGACTGCAATCTCAGTTTAATCCATATCCCCTGACACCACCCAATACAGCTTTTCTTGGCCAAAAGTCACAGTGTTTCTTACTCACAACAGCAGAAAGTCCGGCTTATAGAAGTGACCCAGAGCGTAACTAAAAAAGTTCTCGGCTTCTTAGTTACTGGGGCACACAAAACACCATTACCATTATGTGGATAATTACAGTGCATGGGGGCCTCTTAAGCATGTTATACACTCATTTATCTTAAGAAGTCAATCTCTTGTAGGCTGACAGCTAGCAGCATATGATCCTGGTAAACAAATACTTTCACGCGGCACGAAAGTGCCATTAAAGGCCAAAACTGTCAACACAAATTCCATTCTTACTGAAGGGAGGGAGGGAGGGAGGGAGGGAGGGAGGGAGGGAGGGAGGGAGGGAGGGAGGGGAGAGAAAAAAAACTGGATCACCTCTGGTTGCTTTAACTTGCATGAAGGTTGTCATGGAAACATTTCTATGAAGTTACCGGGGATAAAAACAGAAAGCTTTCCAGTTTAATTGCCATTAGGCTTAGAGAGCAGAGTTGACTTGCCCATACATTAAAACACATACAGGGTACAGGGCTCGTATTTAGACAAATGAAACTATGGCGCTCCACCCTTTTGTTTTTCCTTTTTTCCCCAAAACAGAGCAACACCTCTAAGGTTGAGCAAGCAGCCAGTTTATTAAAAAGGAGATTTTGGGGGATGGGTGGTGGTACGATACAAAAGCTAAGAGAGAGGCTAGAGTTCAGTTAAATGAAAAAGAAGGTATTTGTTTCAAAGTTGCTATGTAATAAATGGAGAGGAAAAAAAACAATATGTACTTTATTCAAAATAGAGACTGCACTACATGACTTGTCCTTTGAACTCAATGTACATGCAAAACAGAACAAGGCATCTACTATTTCTCAGTTACTAGCATAAAAAAAATATCAGAGAAAAAATCATGCATTAACCTGTGACTGGTTGGCTGAAATCTTAAACTTAAAGGTGCAATATGCAGAAATCGCTCCGCCATTTCCTGGTTGCAAAAATTCTAATAGTTCACCTAATTTCAGTTTATGTGACAAAACAAGCAGTTTAGAGAATCATTGTACCATCTAAACCGCTGTGGGATATATTTTCAATAACCAAAAATATAGTATTTTCAGTTGTTTGAAGCTGGTGTACAAAACCGAAAGTAAAAGACGCAAACACGAAATTTAAGAACGGATGCATAGAAACAGCGTACATAGAACAGATCTACCGGTTCTTAGACTTGCTTCTAATGAGAATTACATATCTATAACTCTAATTTCTATGTGAATTTGGTCGGGTTGCCCACAAAGTTACATATTGCAGCTTTAATTTTGATAAATGATTGAAAGGTATGACAAACATATACACATTAATCCTTGGGAGGACATTCATTTTCATTTTACCATAATGTAGCAGCAAACCACAAAATGATAAATGCAGCAATCAAAAAATTGATGCAGATTGGCACAATAATAAGTGCACTGCGCTACTAATGCTGGTCAGCTACCATTTGTCTACATTCAGCCATATAGCCTTGATGCAGTCAGCAGAGTGAAATATTAGGTTACTTTCCCAAAAGTGAACTTCAACAACAAACTAAAAAGCACTGAAACAGGGCCTCTATAGCTATAGACTTCTATAGCTCCTACCAGGCAATGATTACAGAGGTTCCAAACAAGGAGCTGATAAAGTATGGTCTTAAAATATTTCACAACAGGCGTTGAAGGGTAGAAGTGTTGAGTGATGAAACAGTGGAGCACACCTGCATTTCAGGCTGGGGAACACCTGTGCACCCACGGCTTGAACAAAAGAGTTCAGTCCTGTTAATCCACAAGGGGTGAAAACTGATCACAGGCCATGCGTAGGGGTGCAGCACTGAGGGAACCTTGTTAGCGTTTCTATAAGAAAAAAAGCTACACCTAGGCTATCGATTTAGGTGCAGTGCTAACTAAAGTAGTGAGGTACTTTAGAGTGTTTTTAGGGGGGGCCATAACCGAGGTGTAGCAACCCATCGTCCAAACTACAAGTCCATCATGCTCATTAAGAACTATGAGGATAATACTGAAACTGATATCTCATTTTATATCTGGGCTATGAAGATATGGAATATGCTGTAGCTAGGAATGGAACAAGAATGTATACGGTAAGCTGTTAACCATTGATCTTCATCATCATCACCATCGACAACAATAATAGTACAACTAGTTATACTATTACACGTTTGCTTTCATTTTAAGCATCGGTAGTCTGAGCAGCAACAGTAGTTGGTAGCTAGAAGCAGTAGTAATGTAGTAGTAACTGTAGTGTAATAGGAACATCAGATAATAGCAAAGTAAGTTACTGTGGTAGTACTATAGTAGTAACAGGCATAGGTGATGATAATAGTAAGAACTGTGGCACAAGTGATAATGACACTACTAAAAATTATCATTACCACAGATAGTAAACTAGATTGCAATACATTATTATCAATGAATCAGTAATAATAGCTCGACCTTTAGTTTTAGAGAAAAAAACGTTTTCCAATATCTGCATATTAATATGATAGTGGTGAATGCTGTACTTTCCAAATTATCATTATAAACAATGGCCAAAAATACATGTCTGCATTTCAAACTTTCATTGTTAAATTTAAATGAGAATACTTTGAGATTCCATTCCAGTGAATGAATGTGAATATGACTATTACATATTTTTTTTCAAATTAATTCGCATAGCATATAGGATATTTTATGAGTAGATCAAAAACATCAGAATAAGTTCATAAATCTCTGAATTGGTAGGCTACTTTCCAACTGGTTGCCTACAACTATTCTACCTGACTTTTCAACCTATGCAAAAATTGTTTTTCATAACGTTTTATTGTATTGTTATTAGTGCTAATGGCAATACGTAGTTCCATCTTTGATATACTGAAAAGAAAGACGCATAGGATACATTGTTGCATATCGGCTTCAACGAGTCAGTGGTCATCTATAGAAGAGTTCTATCTTCCCTATTGGCTGCACACGCCGGACAGTGTTGCTTGAATTTCCTTGGCAATGAAAAAGCACAGCCGACTATTGTGTGAAGTACATGACAAGAAACAAACATTATATATGTAATATATATATATATATATATAGATATCTATATATATATATATATATATATATATATATATATAACGTTATACATATGCAATATATAGTTGTTGGGATGATTTGAAGTTGTTCACAATCATCCGCACAAACTATGGCTTCATAATTTAAGTTAGTACACAGCAAGTATCGATAAAGAGAGAAGTGAAACTCAAGAGGATGGAAAGAAATAAACACTTTGGTTAAAACTTACCAAAACGCAGGTTTATTTCCTCTAGGAAAACAAGAGCCACAAGGTGAGAAGAAGTCTTTGTACGTTCAGCTTCTAGAAATCTTCACACGTGACTGTACAAGTTAACCATAAAGCAGAAAAATGAACAACAAGCGCAGAGTAAATAAAAGCTCAAATATTCCTCCGCTGGTGCTGCACTCAGAGATACACGCGTTGTCTTGCGCTCCTGCTGTCTTCAGTCAATGCTGCTGTTATTACTAATGTAACAGAAAAAGCAGTACACTGAGTCCTGTTTGAATGCTCTCGCATGACGCGTAATGCGAAGAAGTAGCTTGTTTTTGCAATGCGATTCAATACATCAAGATGTATTCCACGAACTATTTGGGACTAGCTTATTAGAATGCAGCCCCAGGGGAGCACTTACGCGGAGTTGAATGTTGTTATTTTTTGGAGTGCTACGACCCAATGTGACGTCATGTCCACCTGCTATGTAAACAATAAACGATTTGGAAGTTACATGTTTGTTCCCTTTTGGAAGTCTAAGATAAGCAAACAGTCCCATTTTCAGTTAAATCTTGTTTCCAGATGAAGCCAGCTCCGAGATCTATAGTTGATCTATAAAGTTGGCCACTGGAGAAAGACAATAGTGTGAGAAAAGGTAAAACAAATTGAAATATTTCAGTATCCTAATAAGGTGTATTGTATTCTATAATAAATATATGCATTGTTACTTGTAGACTAACCTACTGATCCTGAACAGATATGAATCAATGTGAGCATCAATAAGGATGTTTATTTGGAAGGTTTGCACACAACACGGAAATAAATTATCTAGACAACAAACAGCAATTACTAAAACGTTTAGTGCACATTTACTAACTAATCAGTCCCAAATAATATATAGCCTGACGGTTTTTTATAATATTTTTTGTAATTTTACTCTTTTGTGAGGAGAACTTAAATAGGCCCACTGTTTACTAAATTCTCATGTGCAGAATAAATATGTGCAGAAATAGACTATGATTTAGATAAACAAACAAACAATCACCATTAACAAACAAACAATCACCAGAATAAGCTATAAATATAGCTAATGTTGGCATGTAAATGTTGATGATAAGCCGTTTGATCTATTGATGTGTGATCAATATACTTAAGTCAACTTTGTGCCATTGCATTTTGATTGGTCTTGTTTGTAAAACATTTAAAATTGGACCAGCGCTAGATATCAATCTATTAAGAAATATCTTCATGTTTTAAACCTTTATAAATGTAAAAGCTATTTGTCATAACGCACTGTCTGCTCCTAACTGCAGTGAACCTGCATTGATCGGTGTGGACCGGAGAGATTGACGTTCAAGGTTTGACCTGCTGCATGTTGCGTTTATTTACTTTTCCTATAGATAAAATATTGGGTGAAAGTTGTTTGTTTTACATATACAGGAAAAACATATTCTCCTTAATGCAAGTATATATATATTTTTAATTACAAAGTTGGCTTAATGAAACTGAAACATATGTGTATTGATGAAAAGTTTGATTGAAATCAGTTGCATCCGTTTTTATGTGTAAAAAGAAGGTACATTCATTTCAATGTGACGTTCAAACTTCTGCTTTGTTTAAATGTTAGGGATGTGCTTTTAGTATTTTATTGTTCCGTTTTGTTATGCACAAATAATAAACAATTCTCTTATGTTAAAAACAAATATTACATATCATTGTCAAACTTGTAACCAATTGCAAACTTGCAATTTACACCAGTTAATCTGCATGTGCATGTGATAAATATATAAAAGGGAATATTGTACATTAAAAATTAAATAAATTCATATACATTTTATAAAAAGGTATCAACGATTAAGATGAAAATCTTTAAATCGTTTAAAATACAATATGATTTTCGTAAAAGATCAAATTCCATGAAATTTTGGAAGATTATAAGTGAGTTTGAGCGTTCCATCATAATTTCTAGAAGTAGGAGGAAAGATCATTTTGGATGTCTTGAAGTATAAAAAAACGGATATAGCTCATGTGTGGAAAATGGTGCTTTGCTGTCACCTACTGGTAATTTAGTGTCCTCCATTCACACTGGTCACAGGTATGTACTGCATGTCTTATAATAGGCTAATAAATGTATATTGTTTACCTATCTATTATTGACTTTACCTAACCTAATGCATTTGATGATGTTGAAATGTATATACCCATCAAAAGTAATATATGTTGAGGTCAGACATGGTGTGCTGAATAGATGACCTCATGCAGTATCAAAGTACTTGGGTATGGATGGAATCCGCTTTGGTCATACACTGCCATGTACTGACCTGATTATTCAGTACAGTAAATATCATACTCATGTCAGTTTCATTTTATGTAGAAATACCAATGCACTGTTTTGTTGTAATGTTGAAAACTTCACCTGCAATCAAGACTAAAAGAATCCATCTAGCCTCAGTAACAACCTTGCACAAAGAATCCATTGAGAGTGAAACCGGTCTACATACCTGGGCTGTATTGTATAACTAGGCCTACAGCCTATTGAAAGGGGTATGTTAGATGTACAGGTATACTTACAAACTCCTATCTGCCCAGATTCAAGGAATTAAAATGTAATTTTACACTTACTCTTACATCAAAATCAGATTGGTGCTTGTTTGAGAGCCAGGGAGAGCTTGGCTACTGTACAATAATTTACCCTGAAGTTGCTTTATTTTCTAAGTCCTATCTCCTTGTCCTCACTAACCTGAGACTTGGGGAATTATAGTAGTATGATGGCAAGAGGGTATAGGACAGATGAGGAATCCATTGTAGAGGATTGAGACTCGGCCCTGGCTCCACTTTGATCCATGACTTGAGGACTTTATCGACACCTGCAAGTGACAGATGCAACCTGCATGCAACACTTGCGGTCTGGGGAACATTAAACACCATACACCATCGGTAAGTGAAAGCAAATTCATCTCATTCTGTCATTTAATATATCTACACAGATGAGTTCAATATACATTTTTGCCTGTCTTAAATTTGTTATATTGTTTTCGTTATTACTGGTATATTTCTATATTGCAACAGATATGAGAGACGTTATGTTGGGACGGATGAATGCAGGGGCCAGACTAGCATATTATATGAGACCTATTAATAGGCCTGGCTTACACCACAATATTCAGCTGTAACTGGACCCTGTATGTCAAGTCATGTCCTCTCGAGTGTCGTCACAGCCTAGGGGCACTCTTGTTCTGTCCTTCCTTCCCAATGTAGCCAGACAGCCAGCCCACTGATGTCTGCAGACGATCCAAGGCCTCTCGGACCCTCAAACTTCATGGAGGCTCCAGACACCAGAACCTGGGGCAGCAGGGATATTAAAGAGGGGGGAGTGAGGGAGGAAGAGGAGCGAGGAAGCCTCTCCCCACAGAAAGGCGCCACGGACGAGTCGGACGAGTCAGATGGTTCGGAGCTCGAGCCCCCGGCCGTCATCCGTAGGAAGGTGTCCTTCGCTGACGCCTTCGGTCTGGATCTGGTGTACGTCAAGGAGTTTGACAGTACAGACCTGACTGGGGCAGAGGTCGCTGACCCCCCGGAGTCCCAGGTCAAAGTTAAAGAACCGGACGAGTATTTCCTGTCATATTTGTTTACCGTGCCCTCGTCTCCGGAGGAACTCGAACAGAGACTCCAGGATCAGAAGCTGGAGCTGGAGAGCATTGAGTTACTTCCTGGCACCACCACGCTCAGGGGTATTGTCAGGGTGGTGAACTTTTGCTACAATAAATCCCTTTATATCCGGATCACTCTGGATAGCTGGAAGACCAGCTTTGACCTGCTGGCTGAGTACGTCCCGGGTTCCAGCGATGGAACAACAGACAGGTTTGCGTTCAGGCTTACCCTCGTGCCTCCCTTTGAGATGGAGGGAGCCAGAGTGGAGTTCTGCCTCAGATACGAGACATCGGTGGGCACTTTTTGGGCAAACAACGGTGACATGAACTATGTGCTTTTCTGCCACAAAAAGGGAGGCAGAGACCTGATAGCGATGGAGCCTCAGTTAGAGGAAGTAAATAACAGGAGAGAGAAGAGAAGCTGTCTGAAAGTCAACAGGTGAGGAGTCATCCCGGTACTATTATTGTTCCCTCTGATGACAGTAAGCGGTTAAAACACACTATTACTGAAGTATTAAAGAACTAAGTATTAATCACTATATTATAGATTACAAACAAGTAGTTCTGCCAGCAAATTGAGTAATAGGCTTAAATAATATTATCTCTTAGTGAAATAGGAAAATATTAAATTAGTAGTGTGACACATTTATAAAAAAAAAGTACTTTTTCTTTCTATAATGGTAGATGGATCACCTGTGCATGATTGTTGGATTGTTGGAGTTAGCTTTTTCAGAGATTCCCGTTGTGCAAGGCTACTGTATCAAATAGCTCCCCATGAGATCTAGTGTCAGTCCAGCTTTCCATGACATCTGATATTGACTGGAAAATAAAATATGTTTCCTTTTTTTTTTTTTTTTTTTGTAACTTTAGGACCAAAAGCATAACAACCTCTGTGTTTTGATTATTGAGGAACCGTATTCCTTATTCTTTTGCCCCATAACACTTCATGTAATTTGATCTCTCCTCTGTGTTGACAGTAAGATGAACAGTGCTGAGGAGAACCCTGTGGAGACCACTACAGACGCTCCAGGTGTGTATCGCTCATATTATTATGTCTGTGAAATCTGAACACCATGCTTGTGAATCTGAGTCTGTGAGACATTTATTTTCCAGATTCAGCCACACATAGAGCAGAGGGGACTGACAGGAAAACAGTGGACAACGCAGAGCATTTGCACTCTATTTTGAATCACGAGGATTACCATCACAAACATTTGGTGAGGTCAATAATTTGTACTAAAGGGCTGACAAACATATTGATATGTCCTGGGTGGGGTGCTATGCTACTACCACATACACATTTGACACAAAACAGTATTTAACACATTTCTCACCATAAAATACATATAGTTAATAAGTTTGAGCATTATTACCGACCATAATCTTTCTGCAGTAAGGCATGTCTGTACTTCAGTTAGTTACGCATGAGTCAGTGTAACATACTGTACGTGAGGAGGCAGTGAGGAATTTTACATGATACTTCTTTTATTTCAGTCATGTGAAACGATTTATATGATTTGTGCCACTAGTAAATGCTGGGGGCAAGTATGTAAATAAAAATAGGTATTGCACCCAAAGTTCCAATCTCATTGCAATATTCTACAAATGTTACATATTTGTTTTATTGCAATAAATTAACATATGTGTTATATTAGTCCTTGTTAGATCAGATGTTAAAACGAAGTAAGTCCAAACCTAAATATGCCCTTTTCCTTCTCTTGTTGACTGACAGGGGGATAGTCAGAGGAGCAGACGAAGGGTGGCCCGTTCAGCACAAGTGCAGGAATACTTCTCTCAGCAAGAGCAGGCGGCAAGACAGGAACACATTTCCAATGAGCTACCACATAACGGACTGGAGAAACCACCTTCACTGCCTGATATCAGAATCAAACCCCTAGGGGACAGCGCCTCCAGTCTCCTACGATTACGCCAGAAGAAACAAGCCAATGATACCCCTCAAATAATGACGTACCACCAGATACCCCTACTATCCCTGTACTGGGGCAAAGATAAAGTGCGGGCGGTGACTCCAGATGAGGATGATATCTGGATTAGAACGAGGACCACACCTCAGGTCACATCAGACAAGTCAGAGGATAATCTGGGAGAACAAACCTCTGTTTGTGATTTGTGGGAAGCCTTTCTCAATGGCACAGACTCCAAAGATACCACCAGTGTGCCAGAGTCTGAATGGCTGCAGTCAGCAACTTCAGTTTGCCCGTCAATCGAAAAAGAGTATTTTGAGGCTTCCTCAAAAGTCGAGAACCAACAGGAGGATGACTTGGACTCAAATACACAAAGATACACACACTGCACAGTAGATGAACTGCCGTCGTGGGCTCACAATCATGTGATGCCTGTGGTCAGTGCCGAGAAGCCACTGCCAAGATCGGGTGTCACCTTCCCCAGAGACGACAAAGCGATGGTTTATGATCCTTCGCAAAGGTCAGAGGTTATCCCTGTAACAGACACTCTACAGGAATCCATTCCCTCGGGTGCCGCAAGGGTGGCCGGGGGCTCTGTTGACAGCACGGCTCAGTGCTACAAGCCTTTCACACCATATAGAGCAGAGCCGGTAACAAGCTCGGGGGAGACCGAGACAACAGATATGACAGCAATGGCGGAATCTCAGAATGCCATTGCAGCAGATAGAATCTGTCAGGGAGAAAGGCAAGACAAGACGCTTTCTTCCGACATGGAAGTAGAGGTTAAAGGAAATGTGCACAAAGCAGCTGATGATACTGTGACATTTAGGGAGACAGTCAGAGAGAGGACAGAGGATAAGACGAACACACAGAGCCATGGAGTGGAGGAGGGATTTGCACAGACCAACAAAGAGGATGAGCTGTTCAGGCAGAACCAAACAGAGGAAGAAGAATTCACACAAGACCTCACAGAAGAAGTGTTGCATAGACAATGTCAAGCAGTGGAAGATGAATTCAGAATTAACCGAAGAGACAAAATGTATTTAGAACTGAACCTGACAGAGTTTGAAGAATTCAGGCCGAGTCGAACATATGAAGATGAACTCAGGCTCAATCAAACAGAAAAAGAAGAAACAAGCCTGAAACAATCAGAAGCGGAAGAATTCAGACTGAAACAAACACATGAAGAGGAAATCAGACCAAACAAATCAGACAAAGTTGAAATCAGACCATTTAATACAGTGGAAGATGAATTAAAACCGAATCAATCAGAGGCAGAGAAATTAAGATCAAATCAAGAAGATGAAGAGGAATCTAGACCGAACCAAACATTTGATGATGAATTCAACTGGAACCAAACTGAGGTAGAGGAATTAAGACCGAACAAAATTGAGATGGAAGAGGAATTCTCACCAAGCCATCAAGATGAAGAAGATGACAGACGGAGCCATACAGACAAAGAATTGCGCCTGAATCATAAAGATGAAGAGCTAGACAGAGAGAACTGGACATTTGCCGAAAAATTCAGACCGAACCAAACACCCAATGAAGAATTCAGATCAAATGAATTAGAGGAATTGAGACTGAGTCAGTTTGATGAAGAACAGAGAGACAGAGAGAACCTAGAAGAGGTTGAAGAATTCAGATCCAAACAAACACACGAAGAGCGATTCTGGTCAAATAAAATACAAGACGATATCTATCAGAGCCTAAATGAAGAGGAGCTATACAGAGACATTGATATGGATAAAGATTCATCAACACACAACATAACAGACCCCGAAGTATTCAGGGAAAATAACACAGGAGAAGTGGAAAAGACAGAAAATGTAATGGCCGAAATGTCCAGACAGAGAGACATAGAACAGATAAATGAAGAAATAAGTATCGAAACTCCTGAAAAAGAGGAAGTTGAGGATTTAACGGACGAGACAGCGAACACTCGAAATGAGAGTGAGGACGTGTCAACAGAAAAGGAAGAAGAGCATGAGGTGACAATGGAAAACGTTGAATGCCCAAGACAAGACGAAAATGGAAAGTTGTTAGAAGGGTCAAAAGAACTTATTATCAAGGATGATAAAGAATCATTTGAAAAAGAAGTAGAGTTAGGTGAAGATGAGATTTTCACAGAACAGAAATGTTTGAATGAGGAAACGTTAGAAGAGGTTGATAATAGTCCTTTAGCTGAACAAGACAATGAGGAAGGAGGAGATAGAGGAGAAACTGTCAGATGTACCTGAAGTTGTTCAAAATGTACCGATCCACCAGACAAAACGTCTTACTAAGAAAATGGTGACTGACATAGACTCCTGGGTAGATTCTCTCATGAATGGCACGTACAGTTCCCGATTTGACCTTTAAACTGAGACAAGGCCTTAGCCAAACTACACCCAGTAGCAATGCAGAGCCCTCTATGGGCCAAGCCTATGTGTCATCTCCAAACAGAGGTACAACTGTCCTCTCTCATTCATCGCCTCTAAGCACAAGATTTAACACAGTGGTTCAGTGAAGGGGAGTGAGTCAATGGTCAGTCAATGGTCAACCCAAAACCCATCGTCATTAGAGGAGGATCAGGAGACCATCAGCAGCCGTTTGAGCCCTCCTCCCTCTGAGAAAGTGGAGGATGCTGCCAGCAGCGTCTTGGCATGGTTGAGGGTGTTCTTCTCTCTCAGTAGTGTAACCAGAGCACTGGTCTATGCCCTTTTGGTAGTAGTGTTTCTCTTTACCACTCTTGGGTATAATTTCCCAGTGTGCTTTGCTCTCTACTTGTTCTCACTGTATTGGTGATTCTGTGTGGCAGATAGGCAACACTTGACAGGGACTGACAGAATAGATGGAGAGAGGTGAAGTGTTTGTGTGTATAAAATAATAATATTGTGCGTGTGCGCATGTGTGTGTATGATTTGGGTAACACTTTACATTAAGTTGCTCTTATACTTGTGTAGTAGCACTGTAATTAGTACTGTAGAAACATTGTTGTTATTGTACATAGTACTTCAGTATTAGCATTTGCAATTATAATGCAGTTGTTAATACAATGTTGTTACTAGTGTAGTGACAGTGTTACTACAGAGGTATGAGAGTAACTCAATATAAAGCGTTACCATGATTTGTTTTAGTTTGTTGGAGTGTTTTATGGGCCCAATATGAAATGAGAAAATGTACCAAAGTATTAAAGGGGAATGAAATCCATTATTCCAATGAAGAACAAAAAGGGTTAGCTAAACCGAGTGGGGCATTGGAGATTTAAAAGTGACGTTTCTTTATTTTTTTCTTAACAACGATAACATATGAGATTCAAGAAAAAGCTTTCCAGATTTTCCCAGCTCTATAAGCTGACTAAAGTTTGCCTTGCATAGTCATTGCTGCACAGTAGTTCAAATGTTAGAATTTAGACTAGCTGATATGTATGGTCATCATATCGCTCCTCTGTAGTTAACTTGAAATGTATAAGTCAAACATCCATGCTGGCAGTAGTTGACTGGGCTGGAGCATATTTTAGGCAGACATATCATATTACAATATCTCTGTGATCCTGGGAGATCACTTACAGGCCCCTATATGACCTATCTCTCTCAGACATGTAGCCTACAGACAGTAAGGTCAAATGGACTGCCCTTTTTCATCATTTAATCATTGTAAGGATTGGAGATGATTATGATGATGATGTAATCAGGTTGTGTGATTTCTGTGGCTTTGTCTTACCATTAAAAGTCCTGTATTTGACTTTGACAGACTACATTTTTCTGGGATATTACATTTGATCTGAATTCTTCCTTACATTAGACATTGCAGCAGTTTTCAGCAACTGCACTAAAGTTGAACAAAAATGTTTTCCAGAGTATTATTCATCATGATATGATGAGACAGAAAGTACACTGCAATAGCTTTTTGTAAAATGTCTTCCGTTGCCCAAGTCCCCAAGTGCTTGCTGTCATCAGACAAACCATAGAGGGCCAGTAGTGCTAAATCACTGGATAGTTGGCAGGGGATGTGAGTTCATCATGACTTACTTGAGGGTTGGGTTTTGATTTTGATAATGCTTAATTGCCCACTAACACGGGATACACAGCTGCGGTGATTGTGCTTTATCCAATCATACCGCAGACAGTGGCCACGTTCCCCTGCTCAGATGTTGCAAGCATCAACCAATGGTTGCGTGCCACGTCATCGACTGTGTCATCGACTGACAGATTGCTATGACATATGATGTGGTTAGCTGATACGTAACAATACCTATCAAGGCATTGAAAGATCTGGCAGGCGTCAGCAACACCTGGGCAAAGGAACATGCCCAGTGAGACGGATCTGACTTTGTTTACATAAGTTTACATAAGACAACACGTCAGAATTTTTTTTGCTTGAGAAATACTGCACCAAACACCTTAGCTAGACGTAAAATTGCGTGACTAAATCCTCCTCTACAAAAACCTCAAATTTAATTACAGATTTTTAAAATGATCTTAGATTCTTTCTGACTATTTTGAGGAAGTAATTCTGGCTTTTTCCCTATGGTGTCTCAAGGAGGACAAACATCAGTAACTGCCATATGCGAGATTCCGATTCCGAATTCCGAATCCTGAAATTCCGATTCAGTCACATGCGGAATCGGTGCGTTCAGTCGCTCTTTAAAATGTATCCAGGGCATGCACATACAATTAGGTATGCCTATTGCTGACTCGGCATTCCTATCATCCACCTTCATGACCTCATTTAATGAACTGATAAATCACACTGACATCCTTCAGAGTTCAGAAGGAAGTTTAACAAGTATTCAATGTGCAAGTATGTGAATGTAGGTGTGTGTGCTAGTGTGTGTGTGTGTGAGAGAGAGAGAGAGAGAGAAAGAGAGGGAGAGAGTGTGAAAGGTAGTGTGTGTGTGTGTGTGTGTGCGTGTGTGCACATATGCATACGTATGCATGTGCATGTGAGAGTGTATGTGCGTATGCATAAGTACGTGTGCACATACTTGCCTTTGAGTGTTAGATAAAGCAATGGTTTGAGTGATACTGCAGTAAGGGGAGTCACTTGATCCTGTCTGCTGCATTGTGACTGCTGACCTTTGGTGGGCTGGCGTCGATCCGAGTCCAGGGCTGGCATAGTTGGAGCTGCTCGTCAGGAAACTGCTTTGAGGAATCACAGAGCTGCCTGACCCCGGCTAGTCCAACCCAGCCTGGTTCTGCCTGCAGGAGAACAAGGAGGACAGATTCAGAATCAGGAAAGCACAGTGGCACTGGCTTCCACGGGTTCACACAGCACAGCTGACCAGGGCACAGGTGACTACAGCACAGCTGCCTGCACACACAGCTGACTACACTCTACACATACAGCTAACAACACTCTACACATACAGCTAACAACACTCTACATACACAGCTGACTACACTCTACACACACAGCTGACTACACACTACACACACACACACAGCTGACTACACTCTACACACACAACTGACTACACACTACACACACAGCTGACTACACTCTACACATACACTATACACATCACATATGAAACAACTTACCACAGCTGACTACATTACAACACAGCTGACTACACTCGACAAACAGCGACTACACACTACACACACAGCTGACTACTCTACACACTGACTACACTTACACACACACTGATACACACTCACACTAGCTGACACATCTACACACTACATCTGACTACAACTACACATACAGCTGACTACACACTAAACAACAGTCTAACTACTACCACATGTGGATAACTTACACATCGTCTGATTACACTACACACCATGTGACTACTCGACACACACAGCTGTCACTAACAACACAGCTGATACACTCTACACACAACTGACTAACTCTACACAAACTGCTACCACTACACACACACAGCTGACTACACACTAACATACAGACTGAACATCACACACACACAGTGCATGAACTACACATACAACATAGCTAACTACACGCACAGCTGACTACACCTACAGCATACAGTGATACACTCTAACACAGCTGACTACACTTACACACACAACTGACTACATCTACACAACACACTGACTACACACTACACACACACACGCTGACTACACACTACACATACAGCTGACTGCACACTACACATACAGCTGACTACACACTACACACACAGCTAACTACACACACAGCTGACTACACTCTACACACACATCTGACTACACTCTACACACAGCTAACTACCACTACACATACAGCTGACTACACACTACACACACAGCTAACTACACACACAGCGACTACACTCTACACCACAGCTGACTACACTCTACACACACAACTGACTACAACACTACACACACACAGCTGACTACACACTACACATACAGCTGACTACACATACACACACAGCTAACTACACACACAGCTGACTACACTCTACACATACAGCAAACAACACATCTACACACACAGCTGACTACACTCTACACACACAGCTGACTACACTCTACACACACAGCTGATACTAAACACATACACACACACAGCTGACTACACTCTACACACACAACTGACTACACTCTACACACACAACTGACTACACACTACACACACACAGCTGACTACACACTACACACACAGCTAACTACACACACAGCTGACTACACTCTACACATACAGCAAACAACACTCTACACATACAGCTGACTACACTCTACACACACAGCTGACTACACTCTACACACACAGCTGACTACACACTACACACACACACAGCTGACTACACTCTACACACACAACTGACTACACTCTACACACACAACTGACTACACACTACACACACACAGCTGACTGCACACTACACATACAGCTAACTACACACACAGCTGACTACACTCTACACACACATCTGAATACACTCTACACACAGCTAACTACACACTACACATACAGCTGACTACACACTACACACACAGCTAACTACACACACAGCTGACTACACTCTACACACACAGCTGACTACACTCTACACACACAACTGACTACACACTACACACACACAGCTGACTACACACTACACATACAGCTGACTACACACTACACACACAGCTAACTACACACACAGCTGACTACACTCTACACATACAGCAAACAACACTCTACACACACAGCTGACTACACTCTACACACACAGCTGACTACACTCTACACACACAGCTGACTAAACACTACACACACACAGCTGACTACACTCTACACACACAACTGACTACACTCTACACACACAACTGACTACACACTACACACACACAGCTGACTACACACTACACACACAGCTAACTACACACACAGCTGACTACACTCTACACATACAGCAAACAACACTCTACACATACAGCTGACTACACTCTACACACACAGCTGACTACACTCTACACACACAGCTGACTACACACTACACACACACACAGCTGACTACACTCTACACACACAACTGACTACACTCTACACACACAACTGACTACACACTACACACACACAGCTGACTGCACACTACACATACAGCTGACTACACACTACACATACAGCTGACTACACACTACACACACAGCTAACTACACACACAGCTGACTACACTCTACACATACAGCTGCTTACACTCTACACACACAACTGACTACACTCTACACACACAGCTGACTACACA